ACGGCTATATCAATGGTTATTTTGGTTTTCCATCGCGGCACATTTTTTACATTACCATGAACACGTGGTATTATACCGTTTGTCGCCAAGTGATTTCTAACGTTCTCGAAGTGAGTGCGACCAATTCCTAACATATTGAGATACGTTTTCTGGCAAAGTGGCGTATTGCGATCTCAATAGTAAAACGTTCTCTTATTAGTACGCGTTTTCTTTTTAAGGCGTCGGCTGGCAGCTATTTCTCCATTCATTGCTTTCAGCTGAGCCATTAGAAATATGTCTTGTTCGGATCTAATGAGAGCTTGAAACGCTTCACGTAACTCGGCAAATTTTTCTCTCGCTATCTTTTTCGAGCAACCACAATTGCAACCTATCTCCAAGAAGTGTATGGATTTTTCATATTCTGTCAAACCATTATAATTGTAACTTTTCATATACAGGTAATCCTATATATTAATTTTAGACTTTATTTGCATCTTAGTTTAAGGAATTGGTTATTTGTCAAACTGCATGGCACATACATTTTTACATGGTTCAAAATTAACAGTCAAACATTGAGAAAATCCCAGCAATCACCATAGTTGTGAGATCAAAAATACACTGTGCATTTATTAATTCTAAACAATTGGCATGTCCTGCCTAGTTCCATATATTCTGTGTGATGGTTTATTGGAAAGAGTACTACTTAATTTCACCAACCATTTTTCTTCATCAATTATTTCTCATCTGTTACTGTGTGCATTCTTAACAAATGTAACAAATCGTTTCATCTCTCCATCTAACTTATCTGTTAACATTGACAATGACATTTTTCTTCCAAATTTGATAACACCAATGGTTTCACACAATCCTACATAATCTTGAATGACTGCTTCATAGGGGTCAAGCACAAGTTGTGATAATCCTGCAAAGCCATAATCAATGAGATAGAAATGTCCATTTCTTTGTATAATATTCCACACAGCCACATCACCATGCACATAACCTTGGGCATGAATTTCCTTCAAACATGATAAGAGGTCTAGTATCAACTGGTGAAGTTTGCAGGTATTCATACTATGGTTAGTAATCCAAGATTCTAAGGGTTGTCCAACAAAATCCATTAGGACTGTCCGGAAGCTTCCTATCCAACCTTCAAACAGAATCTTTGGAACACAAGCAAGGCCATCTAGTTCATGCAATACTCTTGTTTCTTGGGAAAGCTGAGAAAAATTCGTGTCTTTTGGTACTTCAATCTTCAGACAAAAAGTGAGTTAATTGCTGTAACAAATGATAAGAAATGCTATAAACAACTAAGCCTACCTTCAAAACAGCTTGCATAATTCCATAATCAAGTGCTTCAGCCAAAAAAATAATGCTATCACGACCAGTTCCAAGATGTGATATGATCTGCATTTGAATGAATTCACCAAAGTCAGTTTGGATAGACACTCCTTCTTTAATTAGATCAGCTAAGACCATTTCAGGAGAGACTGAAGATGCAGTTGCTTGACATCCCTGATTCTTGTCATCTCTACCAGGATAGTCCTGTTTTTCACCAGAAGCAGGCAGGACTTGGGTATGATATAGATTGATTAAGCCAGCAATAAGCAAAGCTGTATCCACACTCCATTTATATAGCTGGCTCTTTTCAAACTCGAACCAGCACTTGTCATAGTCATATGTGATTTTCACAAAAACCCAGTAGGTTCCATCCATTATGCATCCATAGAAGACTTGTGACAGAGGTGTGTCTCCTAGCAGATAAATCCTAGCATATTTTATCAACTGTCCTTTACCTTCCTTCAATTTGGTATTGTCCTCTAGGTCATTTTTCACTTCCCAACCCAAACCCCTTGTAAGATCTGGTGGATCGTCTGTTAATGTTTAGTAGTGCTGGCGCCAACCAAGTTTAAGGTCGGCAGCCAAACTTACTTCTTTCCGCCTGGGAGAAAGGTCGTTTATATAATAAATTTTATATCACTATTCGTATTCATCACTTTAGTACTCAATTTCCCTCCCAGACATCTACTCGCGAATTATCACTATTTACGATCAAGTGATTAAGTTGGTGTTCGAAATCTAAGTTATACAAAAGCGCCGCAGAATACATGCGTTTCACCAACTCCAAAATACATGGGAGTGAATTTTTGACCAATCAAACAATTCCGTAGTAAATAGCAAAATCGGCTATTTACAGTATAGAGACTCCAAAATCCTATCAAGAAGATGGGATATGATTCTAGTAATCCAGGCTGGAAAAACACTGGGTGCCCAGTAATCTTCAACCTATATGGAGTAAGGTCTGCTGCTACTGGGAAGGCTCTAAAGCTGCATGCACAAACTGCAAGACAGAAGGTCACTGCAACAGACAAGCATAGATCAGTATTTTATGCAAATACAATAGCTCCATTCTTTCAACTACACTGAAGTTATTCCAGTATTCCTTCAGAGCTGTTCTAGTTTCAGCTTCAGGTCTGAATGGCATGTTTGCCATTCTGATGTGGATTTGCTTAGCAGAATATCTTGGAGGGAGAGGTTTGACCACCTGATTTCTGGGCATTGGGAATTGCTTTGCCACATCATATTGGCTTTTTGTTCTCTAATTATAATATACCTTTCAAGAATGTTTGCCATGTTCATTTGTTCATTTGTAGATTCATTAACTCTGATAGCTAGTGTTAAAGTGTGAAGAGTTACATTTTTTAAGGGCAATATCGACTAGAATACGAAAAATTAAAAAAAAAACCTCAATTATGGGGGTTTTTTATAATAAAAATTAAACAATTATGCAGCTGTCTTTTTATAATAAATAAGAAATTATGGTACATACACTCCCCGGAAAAAAGTATTGGAAAGGAGTTTTTTGAACTTTATGCAAGATCCGGTATAACAACAGTAAAAAAAATTTTAGATCAATTTGTAGCTTACGTTTTCAAGAATCTGCATGTAAAGTTTGGAACGTTTAGCTTTTTGGGATAGCAATCACAATTAAAATCAATTTTGCCGATCCTTCAGCT